GAAAGAAACAACAACAACAACCCAGTTAAATCCCACAAGAGTAGGGTCTGGGGAGGGTGTGTGTACGCAGACCTTACCCCTACTCGAAAGTAGAGAGGCTGTTTCCAAAGAGACCCCCGGCTCAACGTCGAAAGTTGCATTGCTTGACTAACTGCTACTTCATTAATTAAAGAAGCGCAGACAGTTTAGAGATCCATTTTGATTTATTCCATCACACCCCAAAACAAAAAAATGGTGAAATTTTGGCTTCGATGGATGATGGAAAAGAAGAAAGAAAGAAACAAGTTAAAGAATTCAAACCCGTGAGCTAGGGTTTTTTTGTAAAACGGGAAAAGCTCCATTGCGAGTAATTTATGCCCTTCGCTGAAGATGGAGAATCCAAACCTTCCTCCTTCGCCGATAGGATTAGAGCCCGCTCCTAAAAAGCAGAAGATGTCCACCGCCACGACCTCCGACGATGAAGAATTTGACCCAGCCGTCCCCGCCGCCGACGGAGGTTCTCCTCCGGAACGGAAACCCCGGTACAAGCGCCGCAAAGTCGCAATTTTCTTCGCCTACTGCGGGGTTGGATATCAGGGTATGCAAAAGAACCCCGGGGCGAAAACCATAGAAGGGGACCTCGAAGAAGCTCTATTTCACGCCGGCGCCGTGCCGGAGCAAGACAGGGGCCAGCCTCGGCGGTATGATTGGGCTCGCTCAGCTCGGACTGACAAGGGTGTGAGCGCCGTAGGTCAAGTCATCTCGGGTCGTTTCTACACTGACCCGCCTGGTTTCATCGACCGCATGAACTCGAACCTCTCTCCTCAGATCCGGATCTTCGGTTACAAGCGAACGACGGCATCGTTCAATGCTAAGAAGTTCTGTGATAAGCGGAGGTATGTTTACTTAATCCCTGTTTTCGCTCTGGACCCTTCTGCTCACCCCGACAGGGAAACTGTTCTTGCTAGTATGGGATCTGGAAATGAACTTGTTAAGTGTGTAGAGTGTTCAGAAAGAGGACGTAAAGTTGAAGGTGTAATGGGTAAACGAAGCTTCGATTCAAAGAATGAGCGAAATGGGGCTTCATCTGATTCGGGCATTTTGTCGAACACAAAGAACTCCCCCCTCCATTCTGTAGAAAATGGTGATGATGCTAGTTATCCATGTTCTGAAACTGAGAAAAAATTAGAAAGTGTTACTCCTCAAGAGGAGAATGATGAAGCTACAGACATGAATGGTGCAAAGGGAGACGACAAAGACACTTTAGCCACGAAAAAGACGGAGTTTTCTTATGGAGATCTTGAGAAAGACAAGTTTAACAGAATTCTTAAGTATTACGAGGGAACACACAACTTCCACAATTTCACAACAAGAATAAAAGCTGAAGACCCATCTGCGAAGCGATACATTATCTCTTTTGCTGCAGACACCACAGTTAATGTTGAAGGCATTGAGTTTGTTAAGTGTGAGGTGGTTGGACAAAGCTTCATGCTTCATCAAATCCGTAAGATGATCGGTCTTGCTGTGGCAATCATGAGGAATTGTTCTCCAGAGTCTTTGATTCAAACAGCTTTCCGCAAGTAAGTATTTCAACAACAAAAACTTTCATAAGTGTGCCCAGCAATACAATGTTTCTTAAATGACACGGCATAGATGTGCGCCGATTGATAAAGTTTATTTGATTGGAATGGCTGAATTTGGAAAACATGTTTGCCAAAATCTGTTTCAGCTATGTAGGTCATAGGCTAATGAGTAGGTCGAAAATATTTTAATCGGCTGAGAGGTTATCTTTGGTTACGAGACAATACCTAATGGTTTTGGCTATCTGGCTGAAATGGAAACTGCTGCAGTTTCTGGAAGGACAATTTGGTAAAATCATTTCTGCCAAATAAGCATGTCAAAAGCTATCTAGTCAAATCATGCTACCAAACACTCCCTATATGGTCTAAGCTACTGAATTTTATGAAAAGAGAAGAGTTTTGTAACACTCAACCAAACAAACCTGCTTAGAGGTTGAGTGTAGAGAGAGGAAGTTATGTATATAGAAATTGGTTCAGATGAAATGAGTAAATCTAAAAAGTGAAAACTTTTTCGTAACATCCATTTCAGCCAAATAAGCAAGTAAAAAGCTATGGAGTACTTATTATGCAGATTGTAAGTCACTACTGGCTATAAAATGGAGCCTAATTTTTAGTTGACATTTTATTGAAGCATTTTCAGCATTAACATATTTTGTGGTGGCACCAAAGACACATAGTATTACTACTAGAAATAGGTTTGTGATAACATTATCTAGTTGATAGTTTCTTTGTTATCTTTCTTTTTTGACAAAAAATAGGGATGTTAATATTAATGTGCCTATGGCTCCCGAGGTGGGATTGTATTTGGACGAGTGCTTCTTCACATCATATAACCAAAAGTGGGAAGATCACGAAGAACTGTCAATGAAAGATTATGCAGGTGAGGCAGAGGACTTCAAAATGAAGCATATTTACACTCATATTGCATCAACAGAGCACAAGGAAGGAGTGATGGGTCTCTGGCTACATTCTCTGAACTACCGTAACTACCCTGATTTAGCTTTTACAGAGCACGAAAAAACTGTGGATTCAAAAAGTGATGAAGGTGCAAATATGAAAAACGGGACAGAGATCGGTTCATGTGAGAAAACTGTGAATGATAATACTACTGCTGTAGGTGATGATGTGGCACGCCGTCATGTGAACAAGGCTGATGAATTGGACATTATAACTGGGGAAATTGGCATTTCTGCAAATGCTGAAACCGCTTAGGGCATGTTTGGTTAGTTGAGGCAGTGGTTCAAGTTTCACTTTTCATCACTTCCCTCCCTCTGAAATCAGAACCAAACAAACTCTTTGGGGGGATGTTTGGGTTCGTTGGATGTAAGCTACCAGAGGTAATATACCTGAATTGCATCATTTGTTTTGGTTGTGGTTCATGTTATTGCCTTTGATGTTTGAAGTTGTACCTAACACCCAACTTAACATTTGCATGCTTTTGATGGAATGCGTAATACCACCCAAATTCTTGGATGATTAAAATCTCCTTTTTTATTTACTGTACAATAGTTGGATTTTCATGTTTGAGAACAAATATTTTGAGCCATTAAATATATTGAGTATTTACATTGTTCACATTTTGACAGCTCATATTTGTACAACTTATAAATACTCTTAGTTGATACTCCCTCTGCCCCGATTTGTTCGTTCGGTTTGCTTTTGGCACATAAACAAGGAGAAGAATTTAAGTTGGTGTATGCTCGATCTTTGTAGATGGCATTGTAAACACATATGATACTCACGAGAACGAAGTCAATTATTTTCTCTCACGTCCCAATCTCGACAGGTAGCACAATCGCTTTGTTTGCTTCTATATAGAGTCTATGGTGAAGGTAGAATGTGTGGCTTCAAGGGTTCCTATTGTGACCAAGAATGTTTAAGCTTATGGAACGTCTCAAGGTAAAGAATATTGACACTACTACTTCCCATCAATGCCAATTGAAATCCTTGCGAGGGTGATGACATCAATGACTAAGACCATGTTATCTTCAACATATTCTTATTACTTACGGAGTATTATTATTTTTTTTTATAGAAATTAGTTCAGATTAGATCAAATCATATAAGATCGAAACTTATTTTAATCATATCAGAAACAGAAACATTCAGACCTGGTGAAGAAAGCATGACCTAAAGGGTCACGGTATGTGAATATGATCTTGACATGCCTTTGACACACTCATACCCCAACCAAACCTCATGTATGATGTATGACTCGAGGTTATAGGTATGGAGGGCCTAGAAAGAACCTACAAAGTCATATTGCCCTACTGCTTTGGGTTGACTTGCCTTAGACTTCGGAACACCCTCCTCTTCGTGGAGAGAGTATAGAATCAGTATAGGGCACTTTTCATTCTTTTTAAGGATAAGTCATTTATTTCAGTTTTTTAGAGTGTAGAGTTTATTTTGAGACTAATTGTTGGATCAATGAAAAATATTTGTGTTGTGACTACACTTTAAAAATACAGTACAACATTCTAAGTTGTTTACGTATCCCAATAAAGGAGATGAAGCCACACGTAGTTTAGAACAGGATTGATAAAAAATTATTTGGATAAACTTTCAAAATGCGTGATTAATATGAACATTTTCTTAAAAATTTCTTATCTACCCTTTTATAAGCAAAAAGGTTTACAAAATAAAACTTTTGAGATACAACGAATGAGACCGAATCGTTCGGTTGCTTAACAAAACAATTTGCTAATGTACTTTAACGAGAGTTGTCTCAAGAGTCAAGACATAGGGGACAAGAATATATAAAAAATACGTTAATTAATTTTTCATCATCATAGAATAAACACAAGAAAGAATTACATTATTTTTTCATTATTCTAGATAATCAATTGAAATAATAATTAATAATACATTATTTTTCCCCTACTTCATCATACCGTGACAAAGGCTCCATTTGTGGAAAAAGGTATTTTCTTTATGAATAGTCATGTCTCTTTGGTAAAAGATATACACCCATCCATTTCAAAAGTTTCCAATTTAAATTTAAAATACGGAGTAATTATTAAGCTATGACACTAACAAAAAATAATAATTTGGAAATTCCTTAATACTACGTATAAACATGATGACAAGACAAGACTTATGTAGACGTGCAGTTAAACAACGGAGTTAGCACGTACAGATACGGAGTATTAGGTATTCCACGTAGGGGCAGTTGTAGGTCGGTCGTCTTTTTTTTTTATATTAGTAGGTCGGTAGTCCATTACGGAGTATTTTAGTGTCCCCAACGAATATATTTTCAAATGTGCCCCCACTTTTGTCTACAAATCATTTCTTTTTTCTAAGTAAATTTCATAATTAATCGTTTATAATAGAGGGGTTTTTTATTTAGTTTTTTATTATTAAATACTCCTTGGTTCCCATGACCCGGGTGCTCCGATGTTCCATTCGTAAAATTGACAGTTCCTACACCTCCTCACCCTGCTCTGACGCTCTCACCCAAACACACTCCCCCCCTTCAATTGCACCCCTCAAGTTAATCTTGATTTTGGAGTCAAAATTTGACTCCATAGTCAAAATTAACTTGGGAGATACAATTGAAGGGGGTGGTTGGTGTGTTCGTGTCAGAGCTGGGTGAGGGGTAAAAGGGGATAGGAATAATAATTAATAATACATCATTTTTCTCTTTACTTCATCATACTGTGACAAGGGCTCTATTTGTGGAAAAAGATATGCCCTTTATGAATAGTCATGTCTCTTTGGTAAAAGATATACACCCATCCATTTCAAATATTTCCAATTTAAATCTATGCACTGGACTAAACTTAAGTGAATGATACTGAATTGAAGTAAATAGCAATGTAGCACTCCGTATTATTTAGAAAACTGGCCTCGTTCGCGCCACAAAAACAAGTTACAACGTTCAAATTGCATCAACATTCTCAAAAAATCTCAATCAGTCTAAATATGGCTACCAATGGCACGGACATACAGAAAACTTCAAAGGCAATTAGAGGACATGAGGACGCAATCTGCCTTTACTACACAGCGGCATACAAATTGCGTCCACAACGGTCACATGCATTATCAGATGATTCAGTGTGGGGTACCTGTGATGGCTTCTCTTTCTGCATCTTTGGTAGATCAAACTCCAAAACGTCGTGTATCGCCTTGGACCCTTGCTGGATTTCGTCAGCACTGGGAATAACACAACCACATGAATCATCATCCAACACATGGGGATAAATAAAGTCTTGAAATGGATTGTTTAGGTGTCAGTTTGGTTTTTCTCTTTTCTGTTTTTTTTTTTTAATTTTTGCAGTGCTATTGACTAGATTACAATGTAGTATCTTTTCTAGTTATTATAACATGATGTTACATACCTCATTGAGAGAGGAGGCGTTAGGCGTATTATAGAATCATGAGTTGGCTTAGCAAGAATTCCTCTCTCCTTCATCTTTAGGCATATGTCGTAGGCTGTCAACGGGAACAAGGCCTTCTTATTCAGCTCTACTGCATCGAATAGGCCTTTTCCTCTAACTTCCTTTATCAATGTAGGAAATTTCTGCTGAACCTTAATTAGTTGGTTTCTGAGTTGCTCTCCCAACTGAGCAGATCTGCATCAATATTTAATGTATTCCTTACAAGCAATTAGCTTGTGCCTTGATTGAAGTTCTATTCATTAAAAAGGCACACTGCAGGGGGGGCATATACACTGCCAGATTTTGCTACGGTTTGTAGATAGAATCATAGAAGCATATGGTAAACCCATTTCTATATAGTGTATATTCCAAAAAAATCCCTGTTTTATAATATGCAGCATTTCGCTTTTTTATCGATCCAACTTTCGAAATGTCCGTTTAGAAATTTTAGGTAGTACTGCAAAAATTATTTTCCAAAATCAGCAATAAACCCCTACAAAACACTTCAGTTCCAATTAGCTTCAGATGATGACCTTTGGAGGTCTGGAGTGCTGGTATCCAGTATATTTTGTCTATATAAAGAGCAAAAAAATAATGAAATAAAAATAAGAGCAAGAGTATAAAATTGTGGCTAATATTTGAATAATCCGACTATTTATAGGTTGATTTGAAAAATATGAATTATAATTTGAAAAGAGAGTAATGATATAAACAGTGCATAGCTCAATGCCAAAGGTTGCACCAATAACATACTTAACAGCTCACTTAGGCCATCAGGTATGCTATTCCAAACCAGTACTTGACATTGAACTTTCATATGTAACTGAAGAAGCCAGTTGAAGAAAAATGCAAAGAATACAATACCTCTCTGCAAGTCCTTCATCTCTTATTACCTCTAGAGATGCAATGGCAACTGCACTGGCCAAAGGATTCCCTCCAAAAGTGCTGTTATCATGGAGAAAAAGATTATGTGGGTTATAACTAAAATAGAATTAAGCCCACCAGAAGTGATTGGTTAACAGCGTTAAAATAAATGGACAGAAAAAAAGCTAAAACCATCGCCGCAATGGTTGTAATATAAAGTAAAACATAAAAATAAAAAAATCTAAATAGATGTTTAAAAACTCTATTTAGAAAAATAACAGAGCAAGACTATGACAAAGAAGATGGATGCCAAAACTGGGTTAGAACAAGACAGCTTAAATTTGCTGAAAAAATCTTAAACATATACTATCCACAGGACATTGCGGGCTTGGAACTGTTACAAGTTGGCATAAAAATGTCAAATGGGACAACTTTGGATGTTGTCAGAGTCGTACACTGTAACACAAAATACAGTGTAGATTTATCCCCAATCGTCCTCCGAAATGCATCGCAAAGGCTCAATATTTTTGCGCTTTTGAATAGGGAAAACACAAATATGCGTTTGTACTGATCACAAACGCAAATATTTTTGGAAGAAGAAGAAGTTTACCAAAATAGGGAGTTAAAGAAGAGGCTGTAATTTTTAATTTTTATTTCGGAACTTGAAGAAAGGAATCTGAAAAATATCTGAAAGTTGAAGAAGAGGATCTGAAGAAGATATTGAGGTTGAAAATGAGGTTAAAATATTATCTGAACTCCGAAGAAGATTGGAAAAGGTTTAGGAAGATCTGAACAAATTTGTAGAGGTTAAACTTTATTCCCAAATTTAAATCGTACTCCCTGTTTTTAATTAGAAAAAACAATATTGTGAAAATATTTTTTTGAGTTTGAGTTTGGTGTAATGGGTTGGAGATGAATTACTGTTTGAGTTGATATTGACTACATTTTGAGTTTGAGTTGGTAGTAGATTGTTGGAGATGGTCTCAAGCTGCTAGAAATTGTCTGGGTGTGGGGTGGTGTGGGTGGGAAGAGGGACATGTTGCTCTAAAATCGTGTCTGCTCTGTGGAGTGTGGAGAGTGACCTCCAAGTGATTGATGTGGATATATTTGACAATAACAAACAAAAAATCCTGTCATGAAAAGTGTGTGGAGAATTTAAATGTTTATTCAGATTGATAAGATAATTGTACAAGTCAGCCACTTGCATACACAATAGTCTAGATGATAAAGTCATAATGGTGAGGCCATTAGGATGATGACACCATAATATATCCCAAAACTTTGGTAATGTTTTGTCATTCTTGTGCATTTTAACCATGTTCAATCAAATCATTTTGCCCATTATTATCTCTTAATCCCAAATCAATAATCAATCGTTAGCTCCTTATCTTATTAACTCCACATTTAAATGCTTTTCTTTATTCTAAAATCTAAACAAAATTATTGCTTATGTCTGAAAATGGGCACACCAAAATTTATTGATCAGATCACACAATATAATCAGTCCACAAGCAAAGGCAGATAAAGTAATAACTGACATCGTGTTCCGGGTGAGTAAAACAGCATGTTTATGCTATTAAAGAAAAGAATACGGAGTAAAAGAAAGTGATTACCTTCCATGCTCTCCTGGGCGAATACAAAGCATAACATCTTTGTCTGCTAGCACAACACTTACAGGTAACACTCCACCACCCAATGCTTTTCCCAATATCTGTAATAATATTCAATTTAATACTCCCCAAATTAATTCACACCTTCCATTTTGTCCACCCCAAAATTAAATTTGTACTTCTACACTTTCCTTTTCAAGGATGGAATGTGTGGCTCAAATCCTGACAATTCCCTATTCTCCAAACAAATTTCAACCACACGCTTTTTACTCTTCAAACTTTTTTTTTCAACTCCGAGAAGTCAAACTATGAATTCAGAGACAGTAGGAGTTTATCAATATATCATGATACTTTTTAGATATATGGTGATAGCAGTGGAGCTAAAAGAGTAATTTTGGACACATGTTTGGGTAAATAATGGCCTAAATCAAAACGGCACATTGATCATCCCTTCCTTCTTACTTTCTACGAAGTTTTAGGCACTAAATGCATCAAGAGTCTCACCGAAACAACCCCCAGACCCCCCCTCTCATGGCTCTCAATTCTCAAACCCAACAGAGTAGGGATGTTGTTTGTGATGATGGCAGTTTTAGTATGTTTATCCAATATTCCTTGTAAAGATGGTTGTTCAACAACATTGCCACTTTGACTTTGTTGCATGCTTTGATACTATTAGATGATTTTATACAACTAATCAACACTTCAAACATTGTGTCACTGACCCAACTAGATTGGATTAAGGTGTAAAAAATGATGATGACTATGCTAGACGACAAGCAGGAGCGTATTTATGTGGTTGAGAAAGCTTGCCGATAATGCAGACTATGCAGTAAAAGAATTTAAAATTATACTGGTGTGTGCATGTAACTAAAGGCTTAGTTGTGCCACTTGTGTGGAGCATGAAATAAGCAGGTTTAACCAGGAAAACACTCATAAAATGCAGGCTTTCAGGCACTGATTCAGACTTTAAAAAAAAAAGTTAAAATGTAAACTCAAGTAAAAATAAATTCTAAAAGAAAACAAAAAACACAAGCCAAACTATAACAAATTAACAGTGTATAATTTTGTGAAAAATTAGTTCAACCAAGACCGTATCATCTATAATATAATCCAACTACACCGACCCAACCACCCCCACCCCCTTTGTGGGTAAATTTTTAAGTATCTAGTCAAAATTATGTGTAAAGCTAGTTGAAACAAAGAGGTAAAATAAATTGGATTTCAAATATTAAGAATTTTGTTGTGGTTAGCATGGCACATCCCGAGATCATGTGCTTTAAGCCACTGACCTACGAATTTTCCTTTATACAAAATCTGGGATAAATATTCCCTGCAATTGGTAGGGTGGACCTTACACAATGATCAAAATAAATGTCACGGTTTTTTTATGGGGGGCACGTGTAAGGCTAATCCTAGAAGGGCCCAGGGACAAACGTCAGGCCATCGCGGATTAGCCTATCGAATGGTATTTAAATGCATTTAAAACAATATTCATACTCTGGACCAATCAGTTTTTTGCTAGGAAAAAAAGATATTTACCTAAATATGAACATGAATACTTGTGCTTCAAGCATAGAAGCACCATGGGGTAGTCAGTACTAATGGATGAGGTAGCATCAGATTGAAGTTGTTTGGAAAGAGATGTTATTCAATAAACTGACCAGGGGGTTACAGCAAGTGATTAAATGAAGAGCATTGCTTAACGCAAGCACAGATGTTTCATAATATTCCATTTTCAGTTTTAGTCCTTGGCTTTGATTTCTTTAACTTCTGGTCATTGTTAGTCTTAAAAACATTCCACTTTTAGTCCAAATTTCAAAATGTTCTCAAATTGAGGACATTTTGGACTTCATGGTCATTTATAGAAACTTTACAGATAAAAACAATTCCATTTTAGTCCAATACTACTTATGTTAGGCTTTTATACAGTAATCTATAGGAACTTTATAGATAAAAACAGAACGAAATTTTATAAACTTTCACAAATTGTGGACATTTTGGACTTCATGGTGATTTTTTTAGAAGTCGAGAATTAAAGTTGATGAATAAAGATGGAAAAGCATGATGAGGACAAGTAGAAATGTTAGTCCATATGACCAGAAACATTTCAGTTCACACATAGCAAATTAATCAGGATCAGTAAAAGTACTTACTAGGACATCAGGGCGGACCCCTTCCCAGTCACATGCAAGCATTCTTCCTGATCGTGCCAGCCCACTTTGTATCTCATCAGCAATCATTAAGATATTATATTTTGAGCAAAGATCTCTAACAGCTTTCAGATATCCATCCGGGGGAATTATAACCTGCAAGGCAAATAGTCAAATATAATAACAGATATGCTTATATCAAACAAAATACATATAACGATCATCATCATTTTCAGCACCTTAATCCCAATTAGTTGGGGGTGAGTGGCGTTAAATTTTAGTTTCAAGTAATTCTATAAATGTAAAATCTTGAAAATGCATCGTGTCAATGTTTTATACCAGGTGTCATTTGTGTCGCAACCTTCATTAGAAGGAATAAACAAAAAAAACGTAACACAAAATCAAAATACTACTTTCCCCCAACCCACTTCAAGTAGTTTCCTAGACAAAGATGTACAACAAAGGATATAAAAAAGACCAAACAGTATAATAGAACCTTTCTGTGATGAGAACATGGAGGAGAAACATGAAGTACTCGTGTGATATATAATGTAAAACTGATGCTCCATATGTATTCAGTTCAAAAAGATGCTTACCCCAGCCTCTCCTTGGATGGGTTCAAATAAAAAACCAGCTATTTTGTCTCCTTTTTCTGGAAAACAAACAGAGCAAAAGAATAAGCAGATTCAATGTTTTTGGTGAGGAAGAAATTTGCATGACTGGATTCTTTGCCAGCAGCATTCTTAAAAAATCGTCATTTTCATACCCTTGAATAGTTTCTCAAGTGCAGCTGCATCACCAAAATCTACTTTAAGATTGCCATGCATTAAGGGCCAAAATCCACGAGTTGCATCGTGATCACAGCTCATGGATATCACAGCAAGTGTGCGTCCATGAAAGCAACCACAACATGAGACGATCATAGCCTTCACATACCAAAGTAAAATAAACAAACTTGAACTCTAAAGGATATGGATTAAGACCCCAAACTAAATACACTCAAGAACATATGAAACATTGTTGAGTTCAGCAGAAACATTGCAATCAAAGCTACACTCCTTTCACGTAAAACTGACCATTTAAGAGGCAATCCCAGTCTAATCTAAAGAATTAGAAGTCCATAGAGCATCACTGATGGGGAAGCACGGGAGGGGAATTGCTTATGTGGCAATAGAGAATGGTTAGAGAGGGTGGAGGAAAATGGGGGGTTTGGTTGGTTGGGGAATAAAATGCTTCTGGAGAGATAAAATTTACGATTGGGTATATAATGAAATAACAAAATTGGTTGGTTGAAAATAAATTAAATATTTTGAAATAAAGATAAAAAGGAGGGGAATGATTAGAGTGGGGTGAAGAAAATAAAAAAAGAAAATGATGTGAAAAAAATGATGATGTGGAGGGGAAAATGGGGAAAATGAGTAGTGATGCTCTTACCAAAGATAAAAGATGTTCAAAGTAGAATAATATGCAGTTGTTATACTACTCTCAATGGTGATCCCAACTTCATGATACCCTAAAGGAATGTGTGGAATATACCCTTAAACTTAAATGATACCGTTAAGGAAAATGATATCCCTCTCAAGTTCCCTTATTTTAAAACTTTTCAAATGAATGTGTGGGGAAATTAAAAAAACACCAGTAGCATAAAATAATATTTGACCCGTTGATATGAAAAACAATCAGTCCATTGTACTGTTTTTATGCTCCCTAACAAACACTCTTTGGATAAAAAGGCAAGTTATTCTTCACAATCAAGGTCATGATCATACCATCATAGCATTGCTACAAAAATCAGAATTATAGTGAACTCTGAATTTAACTATCCCTCCACCTTGCTGAGTGTAAGGATATAAATCAGAAGCTAGAAGAAGTTTCAATTCAGAGCACAAATAAGTAATACTCGGTATGAACTAAGAAACTAAATCATTACCTCGTCTTTCGGTATTCCTTTCTTCATGTATCCCCATTTCCTTGCCAACTTCAAAGCTGTCTCTACTCCTTCTACACCAGTGTTCATTGGCAGCACCATTTCGTAACCAAACATGCTGGTAAGAAGTTCAGCAAATACTGGAAATTTGTCATTATAAAATGCTCTTGAACTAACAGTTAAATTTTCAGCTTGTTCTACTAATGCCTTCATGATCTTGGGATGGCAGTGCCCCTGCAGGAGTACATATATATAAGATATTAACTTCAGAGTATTTCTGCTTTATTTCTAAAAACAAAGTGTACTGAAAATATTCTGGTTTCTATTTTAATATGTTCTACGAAACATCTCTGTCTTTAACGTTAACCTGGTTGACAGCAGAATATGCTGAAAGGAAGTCAAGATACATGTTCCCTTCTGGATCCCAGACAGATGATCCTTTTGCTCGAGAAAAAACAATGGGAATTGGATGGTAACTGCAATTCAATCACAAGCGCTATGTTAATTTTTCCTAATGTGCAGACACTGTACGATGATGCAATTCTATAGCACGCCATAACTTTTAGTACCATACTAGCTTATGACTAATACAACAACCACAACAACAACGATCACAACTAAGCCGTAATCCCAATTCCTAGCTCATGGTTAGTGCAACCTATAAAACTTATCACTTTCTCCAATTATATTTACCTCACACTTGATCATAGAGCTAGAAGTGAAATTTACCTCACACTTTCTCCAATTATAAAACTTATCACTTTCTCCATATTTACCTCACTAATCTCAAGTGCATTGACTTTGGTGATGTGAAATTTATAGTATCAATTAATTTTCTAAAAGTATCTAATTTTGCATAAATGCATGCAAAAAAAGTAGTGGCAAAGTTTTACACCATATGAGCTTCTGGTCCAGTGATTTCTCTCAAGCAAGTAGGCAAAAACTGTTACGACCATAGGTAGAAAAATCTGCCTGTAACAAACCCCAAGGTTGAAATCTTTGGCATTTAAGCATGGGGACATTGATTTTATGGAAATATTGATTAAACTATTATTGGATGTAGATATCAATAACACTTAGAAGAAGAACAAAAATAATATTTAGGAATATAATCTTTGCCATAATATTTTTATGAATGTTATGAATAATAACGAACTTTAATGCATAAAATTAACTTATAATACCAAGAAAAATTGATAAGCTTTGGCAACATATAGATGATAAACTACATTAAGATCCGTGTGCCTATTATAATTGTTCTGAATTGCTTAGTAGATTAATAGTATCAGTAGAAAGATGCCCAGTAAGGTTCAGTGGTTAAAATACACAAGATGGGGTGTCATTTTTCTAAGAATAATAATACCAACTTATAAATGAATAGAATTTCTGAAAGAAAGTCATGCACATGCCACTAGTATGCTTATGTACATATATCAACCTTCTCATCATGATTTCATTGTTGGTATGTGCTTGGACCCATATATGACATTTGAGGAAGTACAACAACAACAATCTCAATATAGTCTAAACTACGTTGGGGACTGAGAGGTCAAGATGTATGCAACATTGTAAACACCTAGGGGGCTAGGGGCTATTTCAGATCGACCCTTGATGCATTGTTTCATTTACTACCCAAAATATTGTTGATAGTTAGAAGCACAAGAAGTTTAATGTGACATATTGATTTTTGAGGGAGTCAATGATTAAAAAACATTTGTAGTTAAGGTAAAGTGTTTTGATAATTTTATATAAATAGAAGTTTTTACATAAACGAATATGTTTCTGCATCTCATAAATCCATATTTAGAAGGTACTAGACAAGAACCCCGAAAGCTGAAGGCACAATGTAAAGCAGTGAGAACATTCACAGTCAGGCTCAACCAGAAGAAAAAGGTCATCACCTCCGTCCCTGAATATTTGTCCAGTTTTGACTTTTTCGGTCAACTGTTTTCAATCTTTGACCTATAATTAAATAAAATATATATTGTATTTTAATGAAATAAAATAATATTTTGAAAATATTTGGTATAGTAAATCTAAGAAAACTCCTTTTGTATCAATATTTAATATCATTTTTATTTAATTTGAGGTCAAAGTTTACCAATTTTGACAAAAAAAAATCAAAAGTGAACAAATATTCGAGCAAGTAAATTTCCCTTACGTATTTGGATTGACATGGTATTGGTTCTGGCCGGGCCCGGTCTTCGTTGTCAAATGCATTTAAGCTTTTACTATTTTGGGACCAGAAAAAATTCAAAAAAAAAAAGACATTTTCAGGCTAGTCCGGTTTATGTGTATTGTGTGCCGGAGCCGGTTAGGTTACCCAGTTTTGGTCCCCCATCATCGGCCGTTTTCTACAGCGGCGGCGATTCTCCCCACCCCTCCATTCCCGGATCGATTGAAGTTTTCAGTCACCTGAGCACACAATCGGAAGGAAACCCACAGGCCATCATGAAATAGGAGACCACCTGCAGAAAATTAGCCGCAACAAATACGGTAGGGCGAAGAGAAGAAAGATTACTTGTGAGCGCTGCACTCGGACTCCAAATCCATGAGGTGCTGGGAAGAAGATGACGGCGCCGCCGCCGCCGCATTGGCTCGGGCGGCGTTACAGAAGTTCCGAATGCTTCCTCTGGAAATGCTGCTGAATACCAGCTGCAGAGAGCTCCTCGTCGCCATTGTTATACGGAGCGATTTCTCTTTAATCAGCTCCTAGACGCAGCTGGTTTATGCATTTCCTGGTTTTCATATATATATGAGCAATGTACGTGACACGTGTTACTAAATTACAACAATACTCGGGAGGACATCCAAATCCCGTGAGGGCCCATGGAAAATGGCATCCCAAATTCCATTGGTTCACAAAAAAATCACAATCTTTACAAATTTATTATTTCTAAATCTCTATAAATAATTTTAAAATGAGAATTTAAATCTTAAATAATAAGTTTATGAAATTTGTGACTATTTTATTTGTGAACATAACATTACTCTTTAACAATTAATTCCTTATCATTTTTGCGTTTCAAAATAAAGTCAATCACTCTCATTTCTCATACACTATTCATTAAGTCAAATTTAGCTCACTTTATTTTTTATGGGGCGTTAGGAGGGACTTGACTACCCCGCTCACCACCCCCCATCCATTACATACATAGTGTGAAGGGGCGTTGCCCCAATTCAAGTGCCCACCATCGTGTAGGGATGGCTACTATCTCCCACAATTAGTTTTTTCTTTTTAATAATTCAACTAATTAAAATTTAACACAAATTAACACATAACCATTTTACTTTACATCTATCATAATACACATATTTTTATCACTCCACATCATACTTGTTTGTACACTATCATGCCGTGTCAAGCTCCTCCATAACACATTACCTTATCTTTATTAGTTTATTGATAATTATATATAGTCAAGGATGATTTGTGAAACCTATTTCGATCAAAGGAAGGGAGCCACCAAATATACTCCCTATGTCCCAAATCAAAAGAGCCACTTTCTAAATCAAGTGTAACAAATCAAAAGACACACTTCATTCAAAAATATTTTTCTTATATTCTAAATCACTTCTACATGCCCTCTTATTTCAACCAACTCAATGACTCAACCATATTTTTTTCAATTATTTTTCTACTCTCTCGTGTTCCCACCACATGTCACATTTATAGCAAAATTGAAAAATAATCACCCCTCTAAAATTCACATTAATCTCTCCATTAAGTCAACAAGTGCTTTTTCACTTGGGACAAAGGGAGTACTCAGGAAAAATGAACTCCATCTAAAGGCACTCAGGTTTGATTCAAACATTCTTTAGAATGAGGTAAACTGACCTTTGATTTTGACCAATTTACAGAAAATAAAGTTTGTCTATTGTACGTGAAAAGATCTCATACTCAATATTACACTAGGTCATCATTTATTACTGTTGCCAGAAGCCAAATCCAAACATTATCCTCTTCTGCATCCCATATTAACTAACTTGGCTACACCTTTGGGGCAGTGGAAATGGGTGTAACGCCTTTCGCGTAAAACTGGTGTTTAACATCGTTATGGCGTTAAACATCACTCCCCTCCCAAGTTATATAGACGTTATGATGCATGCGTTAAACATAAACGCAGTTAAACATAAAATCTTATTAAATTACTTTTACAAAATGTGTTTTAAAAAAATTAAAAAATAAAAGCATGAAGCTTCAGTTTGAATCACCGAGCTTCAAACATATTTTCAATGAAATAGAGAGATAAATTATAAAAAAATAAAAACTGATGTAACAAAGAGAGAAATTAAAGTTTAAATCTAATATTTGAAGCGAGAGCTTCAAACGTATTTTCCCATGCTTTTACATGAAAGTAGTCAAATATAGGCAGTGTTCAAATGTAAAGTGAGGTGTCCTCCCAAAATTCAGTAAAAATGCAATAATATCAAAGTCCTCATTATCTTTTCGCCTGAAATGATAATGTACGTATGGACTGGAGTAAAACCTCGTGACCAAGCTAACATATGCAGACTAATTTTGATTTGCCTCTGCCAAAAATAATAATAATTGTAATTTCTTTTTGAACGTTCAAAATAAGTTTGACATTTTTTTTCATGATTCATAGTAAAAAAGTACTACAGTTTAACCAAAAAAATTAAATTTTGATTATCTTTTAGAGATATAGAGAGTATAATATCCCACTAGCCCTATTTTAATAATTATACTATCAGGGGCAAATTAAATACGGAGTATAAAAAATAAGCTACTTGGTTTCAAAAAGAATGTCAAAACCTACTATTCAAAAATCATGAATTTTTTTATTTGTGTCTTTTCATTAGTTATTTTATAAAATAAAATATTCTTGTTATCTCTTATTTTATAAAGCTTTTTTGACATAATTTTAAAATATGTACGGAGTAAATTTTATTTTTTATTCATATACCAGTTTTTAGATCAAATAAATTTAAAAATAAATTAAATTTTTCACTTCATTTTACATAATGTAACATTCTTTTTTAGATACATTTATTTGGGGAATATTTGCTTAAATATGTATGATTCTTTCTCTATTAAAAAACAATTTAGATGAAGGGAAAATGCAGCTCTTTTTTCTAAAAACAGAATTTTCATGTGCAATAGGACAACATAGGTAGTCCGTACTAGTGTCCTACTGCAGCATTATTGCCATATACGGAGTAGTTGTCCCACCGAAGACTGAAGACTTTGCCTCCTAAACCAGTCTGATCGCACATTTTCCAAAAAAAAAAATCTTATTTTCTTTTTGAGACATCCCGCAAAAAAAGTCTCATCTTTTCTTTTATGAAAAAATTTGAGTCTCACAAATTTTCTCTTTTGCGTCACTTTCAAACACATATTTTCATTTTCTTTAAACTTTATGCCAAATCAAACTGAAAACTTTATTTTGGAACGGATGAAGTATGTAAATATTTTGGAGTGAAGAGAGTATTTTGTAGATAGGCACAATAGCACTATCGTTATCTATACACAAATAATTACCAGTATTAGATCATCTTCTCTTGAACTTATTATTTATCACTTTTTTTTATTGTAATCAATTCAGGTCAGAAACAACTTTAAATATAACTACATTCAAATCAAATCAAAACTATTCAAATCAGCTGAAAAGAACGTGATCTAATCATGCTTTAGTGTTAAAATATATTCCGAACCAAACCAACTCGTACTAATATTGATAACAATTATGACAATCATATGCGCTTTCGTTCTCAAAAAAAGATTTGAAGTTGCACATTCCAAATTTGAAATGCAAATTTTCAAAAGCAAAGAAATAAACACAAATGCAAATTGTATTGAGTCCCAAATGCAACTTGTATTTGAGTATCTAAAGGCTGGCAAGTAAACATTCCTAGTAAGGAACTGAATCAGGTAATTAAATCAACACCAAATAAGAAAGACTAAAACAGACATTCATCAATGCAAGAATGTTTAATTTATGTAAGAACACTGAATCTAAGCAAAACCCAGAAGAAGTATTTACTTACACTCAATCCATAAATAAACAAACAAAACCACAGAATAATGGGGCACTATTACTTGTACAAATCTAATTCATACTCCTCAAAGTGTTCTACTCAATCATGTTGGACAACCATAGAGATTTTCCTAAAGCTATCTCTCTCTCTCTCTCTCTCTCTCACCCTCACAGACACACACAGACATTGGGTGCCAGACTAGGAC